TTTAGTAGGAAATTTTTTCGCCAAGATTTTTAAGTGACCAAACGTAAGAACCACGCATACCTCAAGGTGAATCTGAAATAAACTCCACTTGGGCAGGGAACATTCTCTCAAAATTTCAGCTTTCCGGCTTTTCTGATTACCGAGTTAGCGATTTTCCCACCAAAACCTTCGCATACCCGTACGTGGGTACTCCACGTGTCTGGAAAGCTTAATTTGAAATTTTTAAATTACACTTGGACATAGAATATCCCCTTGAAGTTTTAGCCCTCCAGCTCTTCTGGTTGCCGAATTAGTAATTTTACTGCAGAAACTTCCATACGCACTTACGTGAGTACAACGCACAATTTGGGACTGAATTTGAAATATTTGAGTTGCACTTGGATAGGGAACATTCTTCCAAAATTTCAGCTTTCTAGCTTTCCTGGTACCCGAGTTAGCAATTTTCCTCCTAAAACTTCCATACGCCCTTACGTGAGTACCATGTATACTAGGGGGCTGAATTTGAAATATTTGAGTAGTGTTTGGATAGGGAACATTCCTCCAAAGTTTGAGCTTTCTAGCTTTTCAGGTACCCGAGTTAGGAATTTTCCCCCTAAAACTTTCATACGCTTTTACATGAGTACCACGCACACCTAGGTGCTGAGTTTGAAACCTTTAGCTAGTACATGCACAGGGAATATCCCTACAAAGTTTCGGTCCCTCAGCTCATGTAGTTCCCGAGGTCGCCTTCCCGCCAAAAAATTTGGATATTTTTTTAAAACGTCCGTACGCGGCACCCAGGCTTCCAAGGGGGATGAAATTAAAACGGGAGGGTCGCGAATAGTATGGGCACATATCTCTAAAGTTGTTTCAGCCTTCTAGCTTTTCTGGGTCTCGAGTTGAAAGTGGGTGACAAAAAGTGCGAACACACAAACACACAGACACACACGCACACGCACACACACACACATACACACAGACAGCCTCTTCCCAATATGCGTTTTTGCAATTTACATATATGCAAAAACGCATAAAAACAGGAAAAAATGAATCCATGAGTAAAAGCAAAAGAAAAACCCGCCATCATCAGGGGACTTCCCCATTTATGAAGCTGATGCTTAAGTAAAGCTGGGGGCGAATAAAGTAAAGATAAGTAAGTAGAACCGAGAGTTCCCAACTTTATCTAAGTATCAGCTTCACAAATAAAGAAGCTCAACACTGCAGGCGGGCTTTTATAAAGCAATTTCCACTCACAAGTTTTTTTCTTGTGCTATGTTTTTTATCTTTTCTTTGCTTTTTCTTTCTCAGTTTTCATTTGCTTTTGCCTTCTTCAGCTTTTACTCATAGGTTTCGATCCTTCAGTTTTGCTTTTTTTCTTTTTTTCTTTCATAATTTCAGGCTTTCTTTAATTATGAGTTTTTGCCGTGCAGCGCTAGAGCGCTGCAACAGGCAACAAAACGCATATTGCAACGACTCTGTCAGTGCGTGTGTGTGTATGTGTATGTGTGTGTGTATGTGTATGTGTATGTGTGTGTGTGTGTATGTTTGTGTGTGCATGTTCGTCTATCCAGGTATTTTAACTCGCTAACCATGCAAGCTTTGAAGCTGAAATTTTGCCAGTGTGTTCTCAGCCAGGTACCACCCCAGAACCACGGTTTCAACCCTCAAGCACGTCTGGTCCCCGCGTACGAGCACGTGAAAGTTTTAACGCGAAAATCGCTAACTCGGGACCAGAAAAGCTAGAAAGCTGAAACCTTGGGAGCATGTTTCCTACCCATGCATGATAAAAAAGATTTCAAATTCAGCTGCTCGGGAATGCCCGAGGCTTACGTACGGGCAAGCGAAAATTTTGGCGGGAAAATTACTAATCCGGGAACAGGGAAAGTTAGAAAGCTGAAACTTTAGGGTAATGTTCCCTGCTCATGTATGACAAAAAGATTTTAAATTCAGCACCTTAAAACCGTCCAGTACTCATGTACGGACACGTAAAAATTTTGGTGGGAAAACTGCTAACTCTGA